GTCCTTGTATCTTCAAAGAGGGCAACTCCATGGTCTTTCCCCTGATATTATATTATAATATTATTACATTTAATCAAATCTATAGTCAACCTATAATAAATAAACATATAAAAGAGAGTGTGGGTAATTGAATGATAAAATGAAAAAAAGAATCTGTTATATGTTTTGTTCCTCAATAGGACTTCTTCAGATTAATATGGAAGCATATATATGTAGTAGTGTGTAGTAGGAATACAACAAATGCTGGTTACAGTTATACATTGAAAAATGCTGCAGAAACATGGATGCATAACTTTAAATTTAACCCATTGACTGCCAACTGTGAGATAACTTGTAGTTGTCAGTTTTTATTATCATGTCTGTCTATGAGTTATCACATGTCAACTATCAATTAACTCATGCTTGGCATTTTCTGATACATTTTTCATCTGCAGGTGACAACAAGAAGTTTATCACAGTGATACTCTTTGTGACACTAGTGTCATACTTTCAGTGCAAAAACAATGTTAAGACTTCAGTTGAAGCTATAAATCAACTCATAAAATATTTTATTGCCTAAGTTGGCTATGACAAAGTTAGTGTTTGAAGTCAGATTTCATAATTGACTCTAGCAGTTGCTGAGTTAAATTAAAATTTTTGGTGCTGGGTGTATCTAAATGCCTAACCCAGGAAGACTCATTCAAATTTCTAATATGTTTGTTTTTGTTTCTATCCCTATTCTTTTTAAATATTGTACATTTTAATAGTAGTCATTTTGTCAGGAAAGAAGATATGTTGTATAAACATGAAAGAAAATTTACTGTGGAAGCCTCTGAAATTAGTGCACTTTCAATATACTTTCTCCTTAACAAATTACTTCCGCACTTAATTAGGTTTAATCCTTCTGTTTAGAATTGGTTTTCCAGTTCCTTCTAAAGTCTACTTCAACTCTATACTTCTAACACAGGGAACACCTATGGTACACGTGCCACACATGACACTCCAAACAATTTTCAATGGCACACAGCCAAAAATGACACCATGATGTCTGAACCAATAACTACTACAACGCAAAGAAGATATTTAGCTGTTAAATACTATTAAATACTAAAGCATATATACTATATATTACTATATAAAATATATTGTAGAACAAGTATATTGACTTGACTTGTATAAAAATATGTATGCTGTTGGTACACTGAATGATTTTAAAACCCTAAGTCGGCACATAGCAAAATGTTACTGACCCTTCTTCTAACATCTCTACCTGAACTCTGAATTGTTCTTCACTAATTATTTTTTTCTCCTCTCCCAATAGGAGTAGATAGGTTTGCCTGTTGTCTAGTTCATACTCCTCCCTGAATTTTTGAACAGGAGTAGAGGTTTATCCTTTTTTTCGTGTTTAGGATTGGGTTTCTGGTTCCTTCAACCAATTCTATACTTCTGACATCTCCACCTGAAATTTGAAATTTTATTCAGTACAACTCCACACAGTAACTATCTACTATGAGTGGCCTTGTGGACATTAATAAAAAAAATCAAAAAGAAAAACAACAAAAAACTGCTTTCTTTTAAGTTGGAATTATGGCCAGACTTATTACAAGTGATGATATAATTGAATGTGTTGTAAAAGGTCCTTTATGTGGCCATATATTCCTAGAAGTTTCACCTGTGTATTTTTGTGACATGTTTTACAGTTTATTCTATAAATTCCTGTTGTTAGGCTGTTATTAGATTACTTTTGGATTAATTAAATTGCTTATTATTTTTTTAAAGAGATGTAGCACATTTTATATTAAGCTTAGATATATTCATTTTTAATTGTAGTCATTACTGAGTTGTTAGGTTGTATTATGTGTCTAGTTTTATAACAATTATTTAAAAAAAAAAAACTACAAAGGAGAGTGTCTCAAAAATGTATGTGTATATAAAACACTACCTGTATGTTTTAAGATTATAAATATAAATATATTCAGTTATAAAATTACATTACAGAAAAGAGTGATCCAATAAGTTAGTAGCCTGACATGTAGCTATTAGTTGAATTTTGATCTCAGACTTTCACTGTATAATGTCCAATCCTTATGATTAATATTCACAACTAAATTAATTGCAATGGCATAGAAGGAGATTGTTGAAAAATAAAACTAAATAAAAAATAAAATAAAGAGAAGAGGAAGCCTCTATTGATGTGGTCATATGCTGCTGTGATGTCAACATAGCAGATACAAAATTTCCTATTAGTAATGTCATGGAGTTGTTAAAAAGGATTAAAGCCACTAAGATATTTTCAAACAATTAATAATTAATTCATAAAAGTATAATTAATTTTAATATCTTAATGTTTATTCACATCAACCTGTGAATAGTTTAACTTTCTCTCACACATATGACCAAACACCCACTCAAAGTTAAAAATATATAATAAAAAAAGAATAAAATAATTAGAGGAGGATGGCAAAAAGAAAAAATTAAGCAAAGGTTAATAGAAACAATTAAACAAAAAAAAAAACAATGCGGAAGACTAAATATGCAAATATAATTATTCTATAATAAATTGATTGAATAAAAGAAAGAAAATGAAAAGAAAGAAATCAGTGAATGAAAGATGTAATGTTTGTATATCAAAAGCTGAAATAAATGGTAGATGAAGAATTTGGCAGCAGGATAAGGCAGCCTCAAATAGTACTATGTCGACTAATTTGGTGAGATTATTTCTATGTAATTATGAGGCAAAATGTTATTTCAAAATAATTTCAGGGAAATTTTTTTAATCATTTACCCCAAGCTTGGCAGAAATGCCACTAGTATGCAGGAGGGTGTGTGTGTGTGTGTGCAGAGAATGAAAGTGAGAGAAAAGATAGGGTATAGGGGAAGATTGGGGAAAGGATAAAAGATGAATGGGATTCAATAAGACAGATTGATGCTGCGTTTAAATTTTTGAAGACAGTAGCTTTCAGGGAAGCAAGTAAACAGAAGGGAGTTCCACAGGCAGGAAGTGTGAGAAAAGACACTGATGGCATAGAAATGGCAGTTACATTTAACTATTTAGACAGTCAAAGAAGTGGGACCTAGTTGCCAATCTAGTAGCATGCTTAAATTCATGTAGTCGAAGCACCAGGGAAAAAAGCTTGTCAGAGCAGTTGCTATGAAAATATTTGTAGAAAAGACAGAGTGAAGCCACATCTGATGAGACAAATCTTCTAGCATGACGCAGTGACCCCCCAAATTTATTTGCAGCAATTGATTCAATGTAGTTGTTTCATTTCAAGTCAGTTGAAAACTTGAGACTAAAGAAGTGCAATGTGTCGCTCTCCAAGAGTCTAACATCATCCATGCTGATGGCAGGCAGGAAAGTTTCTCCATGGTGGCTAAAAGAGAGCATTTATGTTTTGGAGACATTAAAATTTATGGGTCATTTCCTGCCCAAGTTAACCACTGATTGGAGTTCTTTTTTAAGAGCGGTGTCCAGGTTAACTTTGTCAGCACTGATGGATTTGTTATAGAGACAGGAGTAAATGGTAGTGTCATCTGCATAAATGCCTACTTGGGAACTGATGACATCAGGAAGATCATTGATGAAGATCATAAACAGTGTAGGACCAAGGACAGAGCCTTGGAGGACAACTACATTTGTACAAAAGGATCTGGAAGTGAGTCCGTTCAAAACAGCCTTTTTTTCATTGCAGTTTCTGGCATTGCCTTTTAGTCACTTGATATTAGAAAGTATCATCAGATATATATATATATATATATATATATATATATATATATGGCCTGACGAATGCATCTGGCATGAAACAGACTGTCGCCTCTAAGTGTTGACTTCAATGTTCACTTTTATATTTACACACGCTCTATCTCTGATATTGAGCACTTTATCTCATAAATATAGCACACATTAAGACTATATTTCTTCATATATATATATATATATATATATATATATATGATAAATGATAAATAAAAAACAAATAGGAAATCAATCTAACATGTTTCACTTTTATTAAAGCTTTGTCAGAGATTGGGAGAAAACAGACAAAAAGACAGAAACTCTAGTATTTTCAATTATGTTTGGGTCAATTCTCATTGGTCAAAGACATGTCACATGTATTAAAACTGTGGATATTTCTATGTGTATGTAGGTTTGGGAAGAATTTTGTATGTTTAAGTGGGCAACGAATGGTAACGTGTATTTATAATTGTGTGATTTTGTCTGTCTTTTAGGGTTTTTTATCTTGCCATTTGTGCAATCTACATTTGCAGTGGGAAGTCACAGGGTTCTAATTTTATGGCTTGCTTCTTTAAGAATGTATTCTTTGTATTAGACAGATTCTTTAAGAATGGATTCAAAGAAAGATGCTGATGTAATGCAATGTTTTATGCATGTGTTTATAGTTGGTAATAATGTTATTATTAAGCTTTCAAAGTATTTTCTCTTTAAAGTATTATGTTCTTCTATAATTAGTGTGGCATTCATGAAATCAAAGTTATGTTCAGCATTGTTTGATGCGAAATGAGAGAGATTGATATATATATATATATATATATATATTTAGGCAGCATATCTTCATTCAAACACATTTAATTGAAAAATATACACATATTGTGTCTACTTATTTTTATACTGATCCTTTAAAGTTGTCTAATCAGTTTCTTAATGTTGAGATGAAATTCATCAAGGAAGGCGATGTAGATTTTTTAGCCAAATTACTTTTGACCTTTTTTTAAGATCATCAATGGAATGCAGATTTTATAATCTACAAGTGTCATCTTTCATGTAAAAAAATTAAAAATTTTTTACACTTGTTCATTAAAATAGTGTATTCAGATATATAGATGTTCTCTAGCCACCCCAACACATTGTTGAAACATATATATAAAGTTGATCGAAACAATGACAATTTTTTAAATTTTATTTAAGCATCACAGAGTATACTAGCTTGTGTATCAATTTCATTTCATTCACATCTATCTATCTATCTATTTAATTATTTTGATTTGTTTATCTATCTTAGTTTATCTATTTATTTATCTTAATTTATCTCTCTATATATTCTGGTTACTTTATCTATCTATCCTGGTTTCTATCTATCTATCTATCTATCTATCTAGGTTTCTTTATCTATCTATCTATCTATTTATCTATCTATCTTGGTTTCTTTATCTATCTATCTATCTATTTATCTATCTATCTTGGTTTCTTTATCTATCTATCTATCTATTTATCTATCTATCTTGGTTTCTTTATCTATCTATCTATCTATCTATCTATCTATCTATCTATCTATCTATCTTGGTTTATCTATCTATCTATCTTGGTTTCTTTATCTATCTATCTATGTATGTATGTTTTGTGGACAGAGGGCATTAATGGATATAGTTTGAAACCTATAATTAATCCCTTTTTTATAATCCTATAATTAATACTGGATTTTTAATTTAATTTCTATTATTAATACTGGATTTTATGGAGGCCATTAATGGATTAAAATGTAATGTAATTGATCTTGACCTGGCATTTTTACTTCAGCCATTTTCTCCCTGATGTGATGTGGTTTCTCTCTGTTTTCTACAAATGTTTTCATAGAAATTTTTATAATGATCTTATCTCCTTGGTGCATCGATTTAACTGTTTTAATAGATTGTAAACAAACTCTCACATTGTTACTGTTGAACTAGCTAGATGCAACTGTATTGTCTATTCTAATAATTTCTTTTCTCGCACTTCTTGCTTGTGAAACTTGCTTCCAATTTTTTGCTTCCCTGTCACCAACAATCTTTAAAAATTTAAATGTCATGAAAATCACCATCTTTTGCCTTCCTGAATTCTGTCCTTGTATTGTTTTTTCTCCTTAGTGAATTTTTTTCATTCTCTTTTAATCCAAGTAACCCCCTACATCTTAGCACTTTGCTTGGTGTGAAATGATTAAAAAATATATGTATATTTAAAAATATCATCTTAATGTTTTATTGTAAATATCAGAAAATCATAAGATGCCAATATAAGCACAGGTAAAAAAAAATTTTATTGTTTAATATAAAATATTTTTTTTTATAGTTTAATATGTCAAGCAAGAAATATCTCTTTTGCTTCTTAGAAATATAATAATAAATCTATGAGAGAAGGCAGTGTATGCATTTACTTACAAAAGAATATTATTTTGAACTCAGCAAGTGTGGCATTATAAATGGAAAACATTTGTAGATGAGTGCCATTCGGTAGTTGAGCAGTTCAGATTGACAAGTACGGAAGAAGGGTGGCCATTGTTCCCCTCCTCCCTTTAACCATCACCAAGATCTGGCGATGACGTTCGTGGATGCAATACTTTATTTTTGTCCATTGCTATTATAGCAAGAGAACCAATTCCATAAGGACAAATGAAGATTGCAAACAAAAAGCATGGAAGGAAAGAAAATAAACAAATTTAAAAAAGTACACACATATGCACATACACACACCTACACACATGTACACTCATACACACAAACACAAACAAAAACAGAACAAGCAATCACAATATGCACTTAAGCTTAATATTCTATTGTCTTGGATGGACAAAATCTTCTATCTCTGGAATGACCATTTCTATAGAAACTAAGAATAGAGCCATAGGCTTTCTTTGGAGAATTTTTCTTTCTCTCTCTCTCTCTCTCTGTCTCTCCAAGAGGAGAAATGTGGGATTGTGCACTGATGGTATTGCCTTGAGAGTAACAATGAGAATATGTCACTATGGCAATGGAAGATACTTCCTGTTTGAGTTGCAAGAACATGAGAATCTTTTGAGAAGAAAATGTTTCATTTAAAGCTTAGCAAATATGAGAAATTTTTTTATTTAAATATCCAACAAAAACATCTCTCTCTCTCTCTCTCTCACACACACACACACACACACATGCGTGTTAATGTGGCACAAAGGTAACATAATGGGGTCCCCAGTGAAGATCAAACATAATACAGTAGAACTGGACCATAAGATAGCATTTATCTTCAAGCATGAGTTGTAAGCATACATATATATGTTACCATACGGATAACACCTGTTCTTGATAAAGACTGTGATTGGAGAAAGTACTTGAATATACCAAGAAAAAAGCATAAACAATTTATTTATAACTTCAATGCCAATGTATAAAATCACATCTGGAAATTGGAAGGATGTAATAAAAATTTTAATAGACAGAACTTGTTGGTGGAATTTGATAAAATTTGTTTATATATATATGTACACAAATGAGAGAAAGAACAGATGGAGTTAAAATCCACTGTTCATAGTATTTACTTTAAAAAAATGCTCAATACAAAGTAGAACAATTATATTATTATTATTATATTTTATTATAAAAAATTATAATGAAATACATTGAAATCACAGCACAAAATCTTTCATGTTTCAATATTATGATTGTACTTCTTCAGGTGATGGTAAGTAATTGGTGATTAAATGATTTTTAAGGAAACTTAATCATAAGTATAATCATAGTATTGAAAGTTTTTGAGTTGTGATTTCAAAATGCTTTTATCATCTCTTATAATAAAAATATAATAATAATAATAATTTATGTATGTATGTATGTATGTATGTATGTGTGTGTGTTCACCCTGTAGACTCCCCTGTGGAGTGTAATGTCACAGTCTCGCCATGTTAAATGTTGCTGCCATGGTTTCCATAGCAAAGTTATAGAATTGCTAGCCCCATAACCAAGTGGTTTTAAACCCAGAGTTGTTGTTCTAGATTGGTTGCCAAGCAAAGCTATAGAATCCTGTCTACCCTGTTATTTAACTCTTAGGTGTGGAGGGAGAAGAAACAGATTCTTTCCTAAGGGTATGTATGTGAATATATACATATTATATATTAATGATTATGAACACTGTTGACAATATTTGTTTTTTAATCATTTCACCCCCAAGCAAGGCAATAAAGTCACTAAGATGCAAGGAGTTACTGAGTGTTCAAGAATATAGAAGAAAACAAAAAACATTATTAAGGAGAGAAAGTAATAAAAGAACAGGAATTAAGGAGATAGACGACAAAGATTGGCATTGCATTTAAATTTTTTAAGGTCAAAGTTGACTGGGAGGTAAAAATCTGTAAGAGAGTTCCACAAGTGAGAAGTGCATGAGAAGAAACTGTTAGCATAGGACCTACGGTTTCTTTTTTTATTTTTTGCTTTCATTTTGATTTTTCAATAGCAAAAATTAATTGATCAGTTATGTCAGAATTCTAAAATAAACTTCTAAACTATATATATATAGTTCTTAGTTTTCATAATTATGTCCTTTACATTCCGCTTATTCCTTGCCATAATAAAATTTTGTACCTGTAAGAATCTTTTTATAAATATATATATATATATATATATATATATATATAAATCTTCTAAACTATATATATATATATATATATATTCTAAAATAAACTTCTAAACATTCACTACTTATTTCTCCATATTTTTTTATTTTTCGCTGATCATGAAATATTTTTTGGGACTTTTTCTTTTTCACAACCAAAAAGTTTTTCTTTCAGATAAAAAGAAAAATAAATAGAGTTTTATATGGCAAAGTTAAAATAACTGTATCAATATGAAAATTAGTTTTGCTAAATTTGAATTAAATTAACATCATTCAATTCCTTTTCATTTTTCTTTTAATGGTAACAAACCATAAAACATTTACAAACAACACATGAACTTATAAATTAAGAGAAACGCATAAATTAAGGGAAGCACATAAATAGTTTTGTTATGTGAGAACATTAGTTATATTATATTACAAATATTTAATTTGATTAAATATAAAAAGCTGTGATAAAATAACCATTGAATAATCAAAATAATATAAAGTAATAAACATTTGGATGTGTGTGGATCTGTTTGTGTGAGTGTGGGTGTGTGCATGCATTTGTGTGTGTTTGCATGTGTGTGTGTTTGAGTGTGTGTGTGTTTGTGTGTATGAGTTTGTTTGCGTGAGTGTGTTTGCGTTTTTGTGTGTGAGTTGTAAAATGCTAAAATGTTGAATTAAATCTTGTTAGAATTTAAAATTAATCTATTTCCTTTGAATTAAACATGGATAATTCATTATTCAAAAATGTTATTTATTTCACAATCGACCACTTTCAGAAAATTGCATTAAGTGAAATTTTATATCTTCATAAATAAAACCACTTATAATATACAAGCTAGGTGTCAAGAACATTATTAAATAACACTTTATCAAATATTTACTGTGCATATACATGCAGCTGGTATAATTGTTAGCGGCTTGTAATAAGAAATTGGTAAAAGCTCTTTGAATTCTTGCAGAGTTTCTTACATGCACTTTTGCACATATATTGTTGGGATTGTCTACTCTTCTTTCCATTTATGAGTTAATGGCAAAGCAAACTTGGCTCTCTAGCCATGATCGGCAATCAGTCTAGGAGAAGGACAATTCTGAATTCAAAACTGTATGTACCCATGGCATAGCATATGTCAAGAAATTCATAATGACTCTATAATCTTGCCTGCAGTTGACCTACAACTGTACTTATGCATATATATATATATATAGAGAGAGAGAGAGAGAGAAGTCCCAGAGAAAAGCGATAGTAACAACAAAAAGTTGTATTATGAGCTCTGGTAAAATCATGAAATGATAACAACAAAAATTGCAATTGCTGGTAAAAACTGTTGCTGAGGCATTAGGTTTATAATACCCATAAATTCATATATAGATGTCCTCAAGGACACATGGCATTGGTTAGATCTAGTGACAGGACCCAAAGAGTGTGAGTTCAATACCCGGTTAAGGCAGTGGAGAACTTTGAGGGGGAAATTAACAGGAGATAACTGATAACTGACATCCATTAAACATGGCACGTAGAACTAGAACAGTCTACACCAGTGAGCGAAATAAAGGGTTCAGTTCGACATTGCGACCACCTGAATCATACAATGGCTGAAATGTTGTAATAAATATGGTGACAAAGGTGAGGACGATAGTCCAAATAATGTAATAAAAAAAAGTCAAAGCAAATCATGAATGCTAACAAATGATATTGTTAGTTGTTGCTACAATTTACAAAAGATGATAATGAATAACCCAACAAGAACTATAAGTTGAATTTTTCCCTCAAACCTTATTGCTAAGCATCCACTGTTCCCTTTTTCTTTTTTGGGGGTTGGGATGTAAATATTAAGAATCAGAAAATGTCACTGCTTCAAAATTAAATAAAAAAAAATCCTTCAATTCACTGAAGACCTTCCAGAACAGTATCTTTGAAATCTGAGGAAATGAGTAAGTCTACATGTCTAGGTTTTCTTATTGCAGAGGCCAAAATGGACAGCATCAATATTTGAGGATGGTGGGTAGACAAAAAGGAATGGTGAAAACTT